GTTTGTTTTACCTAAACTTTGTGGTGTGTTTTGAGAAATATGGTTCTCTTTTCGTGTCTTGTCTGCAAAAGCTACATAAAGTAATGGATTAGTACATTGATCGCCAATTCAGCTGATTCATCTGTTTTATTAGACTACTTGATGACAAGGCAGGAGCCAGGAGGAAGAGAAACTGTTAAGCGTCGTTACTTTCAATAAAACGTCTCTTTGTTTTTTGAATTTTTGTCCTTAACTAGCTAGTTCTTAACCCCAGTCTTATTTTACTGCACACGTATGTGCATTAAATTTTTAGCATGTTTGTTTTTGCCCTTAAAAGTGATATTTCACTTTGTCATGTAATCAAGTTTTTAAATTTTTTTTTTGTTTGTGTTTTTATCTTAACACAAGTGAAATCCACCAGGCAGCTAATATTGATCCGACTAACATTAGTTGACTTGTACTATTGTTTTTTTAATGTGTGATTGCTAAAAGAAGAATGTGAAAATTTCACTTCTCTAAACTGAAACTTCACTTCTTGTTTTCCCTCCTGTAGCAAAAGATGTTAGACCCCCGTTATGTTTACTTTTTGGTAACAGTAAAAATTCAGACTTAAGTGAAATTCTTAATGTTTCACCTGTTTCCCATTGACATACTTTCTATAACAATACTTCCTGTATGTTTTTTAATCTTTTTGTAATAAAAAATTTATTTATTGAAGTAAAATACTCTGTATGGTCATTTGTCATAGCCCTTACAAACCTGCGGTCTTGAGAATTTGAGTTGTCTTTCAGTTTGATTGGCTCTTGAAGATAAAACGTAGCATCTCTCGAGCTTGCATTACAAAAATTATGTAGTGCTAGATAAAATATATTATTTGAATTAAAAAATGCTGTTGTAAAATTACTCTTTAGGACTTTAGTCAAATTTAATGAATAATTAAGCAATTGGAAAATTGTTATCCTAAAGACTGGTGCACCTCTGCAGGGTGAAGATCTAGCCAGGTCTCACAAAGCTGATGGTAATAGCAGTAGTTTAGCTGCGAATTGTATTTTCTTTCGCTTTGAAATGTTCCCCAAGTGGCAGTTAAACCTATTAAGTGTTGAAAATGTAGCATGTTCATCCTGAGGGATGGCTTATTCAAAACTTCCTGTTTGGCCCTGAGGACGTTGTTGCCTTTATCTAATCCACTCCCCTCATTCTTAGACACAGCAGGATGTCATATTCATTGGCCAACTAATGTAGTCACACAACTAAGAATCTCAAACTACTTCATTTCTTTCTGTCTTATTTTTGTTGAAACGAGTGGTAAATTTGCCTTACACTGGATGAATGGTTTGTAACTTCTAGTAATTTCAGTGATAAAATGGCAAATGGTGTAGCTGTTTGTTATGAAACCTCACCTACAAGAGCAGTGCCGTGATGCACTGGTTAGTACTGCAAGAACTTTTCTGGTTCACTGGGGCCTTTCTGTGCATAGTTTGCATGTTCTCCTCTGAGCCTGTGTGGGCTCCCTCTAGGTGCAGCTTCCTCCCATGATCCAAAGTCATGCTTGTTAGATTAATTGGTGATTAAATTGGTTATAGATGTGATTGTAAGGTTGTTTGTCTCTAAGCGCTTACCCTGGGTACACCCTGGTGACTTGTCAAGGGTGTACCCTGCCTTCGCAATATGTAAGCTAGGATAGGCTCCAACATCCCTTCAACTTGAAGTGATGATTTTCTTAACATGCATCCATGTTCAGAAAATGGATGCATGCGTGTTTTTCCAGATATTCCCATTAGTAATAGTTGTAGTGTGCATAGGATTCCAGACCACAGCAGGGGAAAACACTGCAATTAAGAAAACCTTTCAAAGATAGCTGAACAGAGTGAAGTCACATGGAGTCACTAAACTCGTAAAGTCAGATGATTAGAAGAAAATGAGAGCAGATTCTCCACAGCACAGAAATTAATGAACAGTACAAATATGCTTTGGTCACACTTTTATTTAATTCTATAGTGACAACAACTATTTGTTTGTTTCACTTAAGGGTTAAAGTAAAATCCATATAGACTGTGATTTGACTTTACATACAATACAGTATATCAAAGCCCTATAAAACCTGAAAGACACTGAAATATACTGACAGGATATCATTTAAAGTAGTATGGTCAGCCTTAACTAAGTTATTTCTTTACTAATAAAATGCACAATTTTATAAGAATTAATTATTTGTATCTTCTTTTTCTTAATTTTTAGACATCTATCATCCCCATCAAATCACAGTACCACAAGACAATACAATATTTCATGATTTACGTGTTTAAAGTTTTACATTAATTGTCATTTTATTTCTTTTTAATCACGTTTATGCTTTGTCCTCAGGAACATAGAGCATAGGCATTTTATTAAGAGAGCAAAGGTGCTCAGAATAACCAGCACAACTGCAGCTAAGAAAAGTATCACATCTATAGAGTGGTAGGAATACCAGGGCAGTTTGTAGGATTCAGTTCTTAAGTGAGCTGCACCTTTGTGTCTCATGACGAACTCTATCCAGAAGAGGGCATTGTCCAGTGGCTTTATTGGCTGATCTCTGTGCAGCCTGGAAAGTCTCTGCATGTTCACGCCGTAGGAGGGATCAGTCAGGACTTCCATAATACCTTGAAAGAAAATGTCTTCATTCATAGTAAAAACATCTATGACTTTCCCTGCTCCTCTTTCTTTGATTCTAAGTAAATTATCATGTTGATCAAAAACCAGAGGAAGTCCTAAAATAGGGACTCCATGATAAATAGCTTCTTGAACACCATTTGTTCCCCCATGAGCCACAAAAAGTTTTATTTTAGGATGCCCTAATAGGTCACTCTGTGGCATCCAGTCCACCAGCAAAGTGTTGTTACCCAGAGTGCCTGGCCTGTCACCTATATACCGCCAAATGACTTTCTGGGGTAATTTTGCAAAAGCTGCAGTGATCGCTTCAGCTAGGTCAGGGGGTAGTTCTCCAATCAAAGTTCCTAGAGACATGAGGATCACACCATGTTCTCCAGAACTCTGCACAAAGTCCTCCAAATGTTGTGGAAGCGGTTTTGCTGGTTTGCACTGGAACCCTCCCATATAGATAACATTAGGCATGGTGGGGCGAGGAAACTCAAACACAAAATCCACTCTCATTAGCCACAGGTCAGCTTGAAACATGGATAAGTAGTCTGTGTCTGGACCAAAATATTTTTCAATGAGGTTCTCATAATGTGGTAGCAAATACTGGGCAATCTGATGTTCTGCGAAACCAAAAATTAGGACATTTAGCAGCCTCTCAAAAAAGCTCATTTTATCAGATAGCTCACTCCCTACTATGGGAACATAAGAGAGAGGAGATGGTGCAATTGAAAAATGGCCTTCACCCTGACTAGTCCATCTAACATTAAAAACAAGAGGCAACTTGAGGTATTGGGCAAGTATGGCACCTGTTGGTGTGGCAGGATCTGTCAGGACAAGATCATATTCTGCATCCTTTAGTGACTGTATAAGCTCTTTGTTTTCAAAAAGCCCTTCAATCAATTTGCTTTGTTTCTTTTGCACTTCAGAGTTTTTTTTTGCTAGTTCCATTTCCAGTTTAAAGCGTTTCCAGACAGACATCCCTCCCTTCTGGATGTCCAACAGTTCCGCAATAAATGCTGTTAAAAAGTCTTCATCAAACCCTGACTCCATATCGAGCGTAATTGAAGTATAGAATGGGGAGGATTCCTTGATGTACCAGCTGTCTGTTGAACGCACAACGGAAACCTGGTGGCCCCTTAGATGTAGCTCCTGAATAATGACATTCATATTTACCCAGTGGCTCCCATCGACTGGAAAAACAAGCACTTTCCCAGCATGAACCAATGTTGGGCAGAGCCAGCAGAAACTAATCAGAATGCAGGTCCAGTGCATTTTAATTCTAAAGGTTGGAAAAAAGCTCATTATAGTCTTCTGTTTTATTAAACAATTACAACAATTAAACAATTGTTATTTTCATTTTATGTTAATACGTTTTATGACTGTGTGTTTGCTGTAGTATGTGCAGCCTTCTCCAATCAGCTTAATAACAAAAATGTAAAGATCAATAAGCTTTAAAATAAAACTTTGAATGTTTTCAAGTAGCCTGTGAAGTCTATAAAGTAACTTAGGTTTTTGCATATATAAGCTATTAAGTTAAGTAACCTGTGTCCCTGAAGAGAATCCAAACCACAGGAAGAACAATTAACAATTAACTTGAAAATACATATAACTACCAGTCCCAAAAGCTATTACGTTTTTGTAGGTAAAAGTAGGTAAAAATATATTGTTACCTTTTTTAGCAGACTGTGTAATTTCAAATTCAGTTTTGCCGGAGAGACCAACATGCACCAACCATTAGAGTTTTAAACCTAAGCAGGACTTTGGTACTGCAGTATCATGTTCTTTTAAGCACAGGTGATAAGAAAGTGCAAAGGGGAGGTAACGCAGTATTTGATGTTTGTCGTATGCCCATTAGTTACCAAATTAAGACTGAATAAGGAAAACCTTGTTTTCAAAACTGAAGGGTTACAGATGTTTAATGCTACAGAGGAACATATACCATAACACATACATGGTGCAATAAGCTTTTGTTTTATTGCAATTCTGTAATTTAAATTCATACAAAAACGAAGGTAACTAGTTTTGTGGTCCACAGTCCTCAAGTGTGTTTTTTTCTGATTTGGAAAATCCATACATGTTATAAATAATCCTATCAGAAAAATATACAGATAAGTAGATTTTTTTCTTAGTGATTCCCAAAGTGTAGCCAGCACCACCTGATGGCCCACGAAGGTACTTCAGAAGACTACAGGAGGTCATGTAAAATAAGCATACAGGATATGTATATTTGCATACATATTTGCACATATTTGATTTGGCAGATTTTTATGCCGGATGTATCTCCTACCGCTCTTGAACCAGGGATCGTGTTTTAGACAAATGTGCAAACCACTACTGATCTTTATAATAAAGAAATATGAAAAACAGTTAACTTATATGATGACTTATATGATGATCAACTCAAGTAAAGATGGGCTAGAGAAGATTTTGGGTGCAGCAGTATGAACACTGGGACTGGCTGAGACAGTACTTCTGGCAAACTGGGAATGACTGAGAAAGAAATCAGTTTTACTAACCACAGCCAATCTGACTGTGCTGTAACAATGTATCAACATATGAAAATGACTTTTAGTCCAATTTTGCTTTTCTTTTCAAGCACAATCTAAAACAAAACCATAGTAACATGACAAAAAAAACCAATGTAAGTAGTGCACTTGTTAGTAAAAATAATATGACATCTAGAGAGTAGTAGAAATACCAGGGCAGTTTGTAGGACTCAGTCCTTAGATGAGCTGCACCTTTATGTCTCATGACAAACTCAATCCAAAAGATAGCACGATCCAGTGGCTTCATTGGCTGATCTCTGTGTAGCCTGGAGAGCCTCTGCATGTTTATTGTGTAGGATGGTTCATTAAGGACTTCCTGTATTGCATTTTTAAATATTTTCCTGTCGAAATCTGAAACATCCAAAACCTTCGCAACACCTTTTGCTTTCATTCGGGATAAGTTGTCAGCTTGATCAAAAATAATGGGAATGCCAACTATTGGAATCCCATGATATATAGCCTCATAAATCCCATTAGTTCCCCCATGACTTACAAATAGTTTAATACTTGGATGTCCTAGCAGGTCATTTTGTGGCATCCAGTCGACTAATAATGTATTGTTGCCTAGAAGGGCTGGTTTGTTACCTTTATACCTCCAGATCACTTTCTGAGGTAACTCGCCAAAAGTTGCAGCAATCTCTTCAGCTAAGTCAGAGGGAAGTTCTCCAATCAAAGACCCTAGTGACATAATGATAACTCCATGATCTCCAGAACTCTGCACAAACTCCTCTAAGTGTTGTGGAAGAGGTTTTGCAGGTTTACACTGGAAACCTCCCATATAAACAACATTAGGCATGGTGGGTCGTGGAAACTCAAAAACAAAGTCCACTCTCATTAGCCACAAATCTGCAGCTTGAAAAAGGGAGAAATAATGCACACCTGGTCCAATGTAGCGATTTGACAATACAGAATAATGTGGTTCAACTATTTGCTTGTACAGATGCATTCTCGTGATGTAAAATAACATGTTCTGGACCCTCCCAAAGAAGGTCATGTGATCCGTTAACTCTGAAGGTGATAGTGGAACATAGGAAAGTGGAGAGGGTGCAATAGCAAAGTGGGCCTCACCATGAACAGTCCATCGAGCATTGAACACCAATGGCACGCCAAGGTAATGTGCCAGCAACACTCCTCCGCCATTAGCAGGATCTGTCAAAACCACATCATACTTGGCATCTTTTAAGGACTTCATTAAATCTTCATTTTCAAAGATGAACACAATCACTTCACAGACTTTTTTGTGCAGTTCATAGAATTTGTCTTTTAACTCCATTTGTAAAGCAAAGTGAGACCATGCAGACCCCATGCTTCGCTTAATTTTAATAACCTCAGAGACAAATGCACGAAAAAAATCTTCATTTCCACCACCATCAACATCCACTGTGATTACATTGTAATGTGGAGACGTTTTACTGATGTACCAGCTGTCTGCATTCCGAATCACTGTCACATTGTGTCCCTGCAATTGGAGCTCTTCAACAAGTACTCTCATGTTCACCCAGTGGCTTCCATCATGTGGAAATACCAGAATTTTTCCAGAATGTGCGACAGGAATAAAAACAGTCAAAAAAGAGAGGATGGAAGCCAGTGACAAAAACATCTTCAAATCTTCATAAGCGCTGTGTTCTGAAATAGAAACAGAGGTGAAAAACAGGACACACATATCAGAGAGTTGTTACAATGATATCACAGCAAATGTGTGCACAGTGGCCAATGATATATCAGGATAACAGAGAGCTGCAGTGATTTTCTATTCAATTGTCTCTTTATTTGCATGAGAAAATTCCTTCTGACAGCCCTCACGTGTATGTAGCACATGGAGCCCTCTCAGGAAATTAGAGTGCTGTGTGGTGCCAAGAGCTCTGCGTGCATTCTGTGTCAGATCCCAGTGTCCCTGAACAGAAATTATTTTGTAAGCGTGACTATGTTTGGCATCTTCCTCTTAAGAAATTAAGTAATCTCTGCATGTTTAACAGATCAAATGCATATGTTTTCTTATATATTTTAAAATGTTTGGATTTAGTTTAGGAGATTTATAATCTCGCCACTACCTGTCATGGCACTATCTGGCAGTGGAGCACAAAAAAAAGAAAAAAAAGAAAACACACACACAAAACAAAACAAAAACAAAAAAAACTGGTAAGGGTAGTTTTCCACACTTTCTTTTGTGTCAAACCAAAAATAAAAGCTATAAATGTTATGGTTACATCACAAACTTGGTTGGCATGTCAACAAAGCAGTCTCTTTAAAGTGCTGTGACCCAGATAAAAGCACTGAATGCAAGTCATTGAAGATGACTGATGATTTTTTGGTTTCAGATGTTCCTGTTTAACCAGATAAGTATGCAATGAGCCAGAGATACAGTGTTCTGAACTGAAAAAAAGACTTACAGTAGCTATGTAGATATGGTTAGGTATTTTTGTCTCTCTCACAGCAAGTGAACAGTGTCTCATAAAACTCAATGGGCCCATGTGCATTAGAACCCCCAGTACATGCATGTAAAGGAATCACTTTTTAAGTGATTCCTTTACATGCATGTCTCTAAAAATGACACTGACATATTGACAAAGATTGAAGAATTTAGATAGCAGATTAACCAACAAAGCATATAAAAAGGGTAACTGTTGACACTTGTCAAGCATATCTTAGCAATGACAGTTGTGTGAACACACACATACAGACACTCACTAAAATGTTCTCGGCAGTTAGTGCTGTGTGTTTGATATATAATGCGAGTCATGCTGCATGTGTTATATAAACCTACTCAATCAGTACAACAAAAAACAAACACAGCCAAATAATAGCATAAATAACAACTTAACTTACAGTTAAATGCTCTTAGTTTTGTTGTACGTCTCCTTCAAACTGACAAGGCACAGTTGGAGTGGGTTAAGTTGAAACAAGTGAAGGTGGAAGAAAAAAACAAGACTTTCTGTGTTTTTTTTGTTGTTTTGTGTTTTTTGTCTTTTTTTGGCCGCACCCCTGCAGTTGTGCAAAGCCTGTGACGGTTAAGTTCTTGTCTGTTTAAAAGGAAGTTGCATTTTGGACATTTCAACCCAAAATATATTATATTAATAACTATGCTGATCTGAAACGATGAGATTTTAACCAGTCTGCAAAATATTAACACATTAACACTAAAAAATAAACAATTATCTCTAAAATGACTATCTTGAATTTGGCTCTAGAATAAAAGGCAGGCACTGATCCAAGAATTATGTGTTCATATAGACCTGTGCACGGTTGTAAATAGAGACTCTTCCACTTGTGAAGCATGTTTATTGTATTCAATAAGTCACGCTTATAAAGTCAAAAAGGTCATTATCACTATGTCTAACCACTTAGCCTGAGCGCAATCTATCAAATCACTAACCCATCTATCCAATTAACTTTAATCAGCTTTAACTTTAATAAGAATGGGTATAAGCGCTTCAGTTTCAATTTAACAAGCCTTACTGCGTGACAACAGCCCTGCAGTTACTACAAGCGTTCCACACCTAACCATAGCTTTGCACAAGTTTCATACAGCACTTCTTCTTTTTAAACTTACTTGAAATTCGTCTTGGTTAGAAAACTATGAATTGGTGCATTACCGCCACCAGCTGTGGGAAAACAAACCCGACTCAAAAACATTTGAGTCGGGTACTGATACTGAATACTCGGTAATACTCAGTAATGTAATTTCTTTAGTTCTTTTGCAAAATATATAAGGTCATATAATTATTTAAGAAATAATTAATTTTTTATTCTTCTGATCAGTGTTCTCGCATTGGCCTTAGTGATTACATTTTCCTATGTTGCGCTTTCTTTGTGTCACTAATACATTGTGTAATCCAAACCCGAGTCTCGCTTTATTGTTTAGCTTTATTGTTACTATTCTTCCGCGATTCGATGTTTTCATACTGAAGCTGATAGGCTTCATGTGTGTGCACACTCCTCACCAGTGCTGGGATCGTTACTCATAAAAAGTAAAGCGTTACACATTGCTCCTTATTTGTACACACACACAAACGCGCACAGAGAGAGGGAGAGAGACGTCGCTTTCTTCACTGATTGCATGACCACAAAACCGACAACACAAAGCTGAATACCAGCCTAAAGAAACCTCAAAGCTACTATTAAAAAGACGTAGAAATGGAGGCTACAGAGTGCTCCTTACTACCTTTGTTGCCTGTTGAAGATCTTCGCTAGTTCTGAGCCAGCATGCTGTCACTGCAGATGCTTGGAACGAGCCGATGTTGTGTTGGCAATCCAATACAAGTGTTTTATGTCGTGCTGTTGCTCTTAATAATCACGTGCTTGTCCTTTAACTAAAAATGAAACGTATTGTCCAAACCTCTACTCCTCAAAAGTTGTAGACTACTCCACCCATGGACATACATTTATGTATGTCTATGGCTCCACCATTTCCTCCTCCCTACACAGGAACCAAAATCATAGTGTCAACGGGCAGGAAGAAGACACGTTTTGTGCTTTTTGTTGCACTTTTTATTCGCTCGGCGTACTGAATAATCATTGTAACCAAAGTAAGGCCTAAATGTTACCCGATGTGATTACCGAATTTAGTACTGTAACGCGTCACGTTAATGAGTTATGACAAAAATGCAATGTGACGAGAGGAACGCGTTACCCTGCAATGTGACATGACCGGTCTTGATTCAATTTTAAGTTACATTTACACCGACATTTTTTGTATTTCAACTGAATGCTGCATTCGATTAAAGTAAAACTGACAACCATTCAGTTGTTCATTCATTGATTCATTTTCTCATATGACTAAAAACACGCGTGTCCAGAGCATTATGCCAGTGCCATTCTGTCATTCTTGGCATTAATAAGCGACTGATCTGACAGCGCTTACAAATTAAATAGAACATTTTCTGTAATTCAAATGGGATCATTACTCAGATTTGCCTGGCATGAGATTATCATTTAAAGTCCCATCAACGGAGAATTCCTCTCAAATCTCTTCATTAAGAAGATATGTATTGTTTGTCAAACATAGAGGCAGTTGTTTTCCCTTTTAAACAAAGGCAAAATATAACAAAACTACATATATTCAGGTAAAGATACAAAATGGATTTTTTTTTCATTGATTATGTTTAACTTGTTAGAGTTAATCCACTCAGAATTATTTTGAAACACAGACTTTTAATAACGATGAAGTTTTTTTTAATAACAACCTCATATGAATGAGGTACTCAAACAAGAATGAGAAGTTAAAATGACACAATGCATTATCAAATCCATCTGTGCACTGATCATTAGTCATGTTTCACTTTATATTTGAACATCCCAGTGTATATACACCTAATAAGGTAGAAAGTGGTTAAAAGCACAAGCAGCATAGCTCCAGCCAGGAACAAAACTACATCTACAGAGTGGTAGGAATACCAGGGCATTCTGTAGGACTGTGCTTTCAGGTGAGCTGCTCCTTTGTGCCTCATGACAAACTCTATCCAGAAGAGGGCGTTATCCAGTGGCTTTACTGGCTTATCTCTGTGTAGCCTGGAAAGTCTCTGCATGTTCGCCCTGTACGAGGGATCACTCAGGACTTCCTCTATGGCCTTCAGGAAGTTGTTGTCTTTGTCCACTGTAGCTAACGTAAGTATTTTGCCTCCTCCTCTCTCTTTCAGACGTAGCAGGTTGTCATGTTGGTCAAAAAACACAGGTATACCCACAACTGGGACTCCATGATAAATAGCTTCTTGGACTCCATTTGTTCCTCCATGTGCCACAAACAGTTTTATTTTTGGGTGTCCTAAAAGGTCATTCTGTGGCATCCAGTCCACCAGTAAAGTGTTATTACCCAGATTCGCTGGTCTATTACCTTTATACTTCCAGATGACTTTCTGTGGTAGTTTAGCAAAAGCTGCAGCGATCTCATTTGTTATATCAGCAGGAAGTTCAGTCACAAATGTTCCCAAAGACATGAGGATGAAGCCATGGTCTCCAGAACTCTGCACAAAGTCCTCCAAGTGCTGAGGCAGAGGTTTAGCAGGTTTGCACTGGAACCCTCCAATATAAACAACATTAGGCATTGTGGGCCGTGGGTACTCAAACACAAAGTCCACTCTCATCAGCCAAATGTCTGCAGCAATCATTAACTCATTAAAATCATGACCAGGCCCAAGATATTTGTCAGTTAATTTCTGGTATACTAGTCTAACTAAGAGGTCATTTTGTATTTGGGTTATAATGTGCAAAAGCATGTTTGTAACTCTCTGCAAAAAGGTCATCTTGTCAGTATTCCCTGCTCCTGTTATAGGAATATAAGACAATGGTGAAGGAGCTATGGAAAAATGTGACTCTGCAGCTATAAGCCAGCGAACATTATAAACCAAAGGAAGGTTCAAATATTTGGCCAGAATGATGGCACCACCCCAGCAGGGGTCAGCAAGTAGCAGGTCAAACTTGCTGTCTTTCATTTTTCTTATCAAGTCGCTGTCATCCATCATTGCTGTTACTACTGCACCTACGCCTTTGTGGGCATCAATAAATGTGCCAAACATTCCCACACTCATGTGGAGAAAACTAATCAAGGGGAGGGCTCCTCGTTCAAATTCTATGATCTCAGCTACAATCCTTGTGATGAATGTCTGATCCAAGGTGTTTTCCACTGGAACTGTAAAGGCACTGTAATAAGATGAGTTATCTTTTATGTACCAGCTTTTACTAGAACGCAGAATGGTGATATTGTGTCCTCTAGAGTGCAAAGCCTTTAGTAGAATTTCCATGTTTATCCAGTGGCTGCCTTCAGAAGGATAGACCAAGATGTTGCCTCCTTCACAGGCTTTGGGAATTAGGATGAGCAGCAGGAAAGCAGTGCAGCAGCAGAGGACCCTCATCTGAAATTCAAAATCAACTTACTGGCATAAAGAAGGTCATTTGTAAAATCAGAGTGTAAATGTAGTGATATGTTACCCTACCTACCTAAAAATAAAGATAGCTAGACAGGGATGTTCTCACACAATTTGCAAACACTATCTGCAAGTTCGAATTAAGTTTTCAAACAGAAAAACAGATTATAATGTCCTAATCTTTTTAAAAAAATGTTTGAAAAATTCTAACTGTGCCTCTATAGGTTCTCTGGGTACAACAAAGGGCTTATTTTGAAATTCTAGATTGGCTGTAGGTGGGAATGTGAGTGTGAATGTTTATCTGTCTCTCTGTGTTATCTTTGTGGGTAGACTATATGCCCAGTGTGTATTCCTGGTCTCATTCAAATTCAAGTGTAGTAGAAGCCCCAACCCAAAAAAGGCCAAAAAAATGTCAAAAAATAAAGAAAAAATTAACTTTAAATCCATGTCCAAACAATGTTATTGCTAGGCATTGTAAAACGGTTGTTAATAATTGTTTAAGATGTTTTAGAGAACATTTTCCTACCTTTAAAATGAACATTCCAAGAAGTAAAAAATTAAATCTATATTTTTTAAATTGCTGCTAAAAACATGGTATGCTTTCACTTTATTATAGCAAATTTTACTTTTTTTTTTTTAACTTTTTAACAACAGAATACTATTTGTATTGAAAGTCAGTCCCCCACATAAAAGGGTTAATATGTTTAAATGTATGCATAGTGCAGCATTTAAACAGTTTATTGAGTCTGAAAGCTTTTCTACTTACTGTAATATGAATAGTTTCTTTATCCAGCAAAGGTCACGGTGATAAGAGAACTGTTGTTCAAAGCACCAGTATGTTGAACGTGACATGTGTGTATTTGTACTCTCCAGAGGGGAGGAGCTGAGCCACCATGCAAAAGGCACTATTGCCCATTGCCTCAGTAGACCCTTGTAAGGCAAAGTGCATAACGGTATCAATCTGTGTGCAAAGAGCAGTGATACGATAATGAGGTTATACATTGACTAAACACTAATGTAAAGGACAAAATAAGTGCATAACGGTTTATGAGAAAATACTGTGTGCGAGAAAAGAAGGCATGGAATGAATTATCGTTATAGTCTGGCAAGTGTTAATATAATGTAATCACATTCAGGACATGGGACAAACATGCTACACTGTGAACAAATTTAGGTATGTGACCGTGTGTGTGTGTTTTGTGTGTCTGGTCCATGAACTTCTAGCATACTCATTAACATCACCTCATCTGTAAACCCGGAAAGAATATATCACGCTTAAAACACGTATATGTGATCATCTCACTTACGTTGTGGAGTACATCGTGAATATGGTGTCGTACCTACTCTTCGCATTACTCTCCTTCTTAATACTTATCAAAATTGTTCACTGCACTTTGTGGATACGTATTAAAGTGCTAGTGGCAAGCGATTGTAAACTCAATAGCGGAACATATACTTAATTTGAAGGATAATCCTATTCAAATAAACAAAAGTTCATTCCTAGTGTCATTCTAATAGTTATGCTTGTTTCAAAACAAGTGCGGATCTTATTAATTCACTTGCTGTATATATTGTATACACACAGATAACCATACAATTGTTGAAATTTTAAGACTAACTTTATGGAACTTTTGGTACCTTGTTCACTCATACAAGTTTCCAAGGTGAATTGGGTGGAAATGTGCTGTTGATACAGTACGCACCCAAATTTGTGAGGTGAACAAAAACATTCGGTATTTTATAAAGAGTGGTTCAAATTTTAGGAAAATAGTTTTAGGCAAGAATATCTTTAGGCATGAAGTTTTTCTTCAGCTGACTTGTTAAAACACAAACAACTACAGGGTGCTAACATACACTCAGTGTTTAACAACCATTTTAATTCATCTAATCCTAGTTTGTTCACTATATAAACTAAATTTCTTTATAATCAAAGCACTTATAGAGTAGGTGGCATAGATTGTGGTCATGGCATTAAACCAATTCCACCACATTAAGGGTTCAACTGTTTTACAACTGCTGCATCGCTTTGCTGTATCAGAAAAAACAAGAAGCAACTGATTCTTCACCTTATTACTGATTCTGGTAATAAACTCAATTTATGGATAGTGAATTATATATCTTTTCCATATGGGCAGTTACCCCATTTTTAAAAAATAGCGTCTTCGGGTTTTTTTCTTCTCTAATTCAGTTGCAATTTCATTCCATCGTTAAAGAGACAATATTACTTCCTCATTTTTCACCATTGTAAACTTCGAAAGTCAGTGTGCTTGACCATTGCCTCAGTAGACCCTTGTAAGGCAAAGTGCATAACGGTATCAATCTGTGTGCAAAGA